TACTGTTTATTTTTTCAACTATTCACTGATATGAAATGTAATTTTTTATATCGATTATGTATCATGCAATCTTGTTGAATTCACTGATTAGTTTTTTAGAATTTAGGATTTTTGTGTATGTGATTATGTTACTTCCTCTTTCTTTCTCTTTTCTTTCTTTCTTTCTTTCTTTCTTTCTTTCTTTCTTTCTTTCTTTCTTTCTTTCTTTCTTTCTTTCTTTCTTTCTTTCTAATGCTTTTGCCATAAGGCACATTTGCTCACCTGAAAGAGAGAGAAAGTGAGGAATCATCTCGCAGAGGGGATGGCCATGCCTTAATCCCTTCTCCTCCATTTTAGTCCTGGGATTTTGGGCACTCAGACACATGTACCGGCGTAATTTTCAAGCTACTGGGTCTGTAACTCAAACCTTGGTTAGCCATGTGAGAATCCTGTGCCTTAACCTAAACTAATCTGTTTGCCTTTCATTTCTTATCCTTTCTGTATTGTTCTATTTAACATTGCAGTACAATGTTAAATAGAAGGGTCATCCTTGAAGTGAACGTTCTCTACTTGTTTGTCTTAAGGAGACAGCATTCACTGTTTCATAATTGTGATATTATAGTTATGGGGTTTTTACTGATGCCCTTTTTCAGTCTGAGAAAGTTTCCTTCTTGTTGGTATGCTGAGACATTTTATTGAGTGGGGGGTTAAACTTTTTTCAAATGATTTCTTTACATCTATTGAAATAACTTTCAACTTGCATGTGTTAAATGAAGTAACTTCAATATACCTAAAGTAATACTAGAGAAAAAAATTACTGAATTTACCACCATTGAATATTACAATATAATTCTCTGTCTATCACTAACAGGTCAAGCAAACAAAAATTCAGGGAAGTTGTAAAAGAATGAAACAATACAGTTAAGTTTATTGTCATGGTCAATAAACTCTTAACAATGAATTCACATTTCTCTATATCATTTATAGGAAATACTAACATACTATTTATTCTTTCTTACTTTTGACAAATTAAATAAAGACATATAATGCAGGATTCACATTTTAAATTTACTATATAACTTATAAATAGAAAGATGAATTATTCCCATGCATTTGAATATTCTTTTAAATTAGTTTTTGAGGCTTCATAATCTCTAAAATTATGATGCATTACTCAGTCGATGGTGTCTTAGATTTAATAATGCATGGTAAACAGTGTGTATTTCTAAAACAAAAACACCTGGAATTCAACTTTATTCAATATAGTACTTATAAGTATTTTAGTAATATGAAGAAGTTTTCATAGAGGAATACTCATGTTAGAAAACATTAAAGAGTGGAAATTATAATGTAATCATCAAATTTAAGTTTGGGGGAAAATACTGAAATAAATTCAAAGGATAAAGAAAGAAATCATAAAAATAAGAATAGAAATCAATAAAGTAAGAAAAAAGGGCTGGCAGATGGTGTGGTGGTTAAAGCAATGGACTCCCACATGCTGACTGCAGTTCGAGTCCTGAACCTCATGGCTTAAAAGTCATGCCAGGAGTATGTTCATGTGTGCCCAAAATCCTGACAGGAGAACGAAGGAGAAGGGACTGCAGTGTAGCCATCCACCTGTGTGTATGGGGGGGAGGGTGATTTCTCACTTTTCCTCCCTCTTTCTTTCTCTAGTGAGTGCACATGCCCTCTGGCAAAAACCTAAAAAAAAAAAAACCCCAAAAAGTTAAAAAATAAATTTTGAATTGATAGAATTATGGAGCACTGAAGGTAATCCTTTGAATTGAATAGCAAAAAAAAATCTTGTGAAATTTACCAATAGAATAAAAAGGTACAGAATGCAAGTGGATATATCAGAAAGTAATAAATAGTAAAATATGAACGTTATAATATGAAATATTTAAAAACTTAAGGTGAACAAATTTCTCTGAAAAGTATTAGTTACTAAATCTTGAATCAAATGTCATTCTACATCTACTCAAAGGGAATTAGTAATTTATTTCTACAAAGTAAATAGCAGTCATGATAACTTTATAGATAGGTTTGGTCATCATTTCAAAAACTGGAAAAGATGACCTCCTAGAAATAGAGAATAAAATAGTGATGACTAGAGACTAGTAGAGGTAGGGGGAAACAGTCTAGAGAAATGTCTCTTAATTGGTACAAAGTACAGATGGATAAGAAGAACAACTTCAAGTGTTGTACTGCAGAGTAAATATAGTTAACAGGAATTTATTGCATATCTCAGATTGCATAAGAGAAGTCCTTGAATGTCCCTGTCACAAAGTAATGAAGATGATATGCCAATTATCCTTATTGTATTCTTGTACTCAAAATCATATTGTGTCCCATAAATATGTACTATTATTGTGTCAATAAAGGAAAAATTGAGACAGTAGCCCCCCCACCTTATCAGTGAGAGATGTTTCAAGACACTCATTGGATGCCTGAAGTGCTAATCAGTACTGAGCTCTACATATACTAGGTTTTTTCTTACATATATACACCTGTATTAAAGTTTAATTTATAATTTACTTACAGTAAGAGATTAACAACAATGACTAATAATACAATAGAGCAATTATAGCAGTTATGTGAATAACAATGATAGTTATATGATTGTGGCCGATATTGCTCACTCTCTCAAAATACCTTATTGTACTGTATTCACACTTCTTGTGATCACGTGAAGTAATGAATGAGTGAGGTGGATGACTTAGGCCTTGTGATGCATGGTTCGGCTATTGGTGACCTTCTGATGATTCATCCGAAGGAGCATCATTTGCTTTGGGTGATCCTGGATCATAGAGCCATGACTTTCCAGACCTAGGTAGACTGAAGGTGACAGAAACTGCAGAAAATGAAACTGTGGATACTGTATATTCAGTGGCATTAAAATTAATAATTTGCATTCATCAGGATGTCAAAAGAGATTTAAATATGAGGGATATAACGATAGACAGATAGCGTCATGGAGAGGGAGAAAGAAACCTCGAATGGAGCATGGTCATGCTGCAGTTCCCTCGTTCTTTCATCCTGTTGGGATTTTGGGAATGCATGCAAATACACCCAGAGTGTTTTTCAAGCTATCTAGCTGGCATTTGAACTGTGCTATCAGCTATGTGGGATCCAGCTCCCTTAAGCTGTAAGCTCTGAGGCAACCCAATTTCAATATATTTAGCAGGTGTAGCATTAATATCACAACAGATAAAAATCTCTATCTGGAATGAAGTCAATAAGATTTGGAAGGAAGCAGCATTTCAAATATGTGAATATGTGGTTTATATATACATACCTACCTCGCGTACCTCTACTACACATGAGCTTCATGATTAGTTGGTGTCCTTGATCTGATTCTTGATCAGTACCAAAAGCTTGTAATATTTATGTTCTGTGGTGTACCTGGCCTGGTCAGCTAATCGTTACCCTGTCCTTGAGCATTTCCAGAGTAGAAGCTTGTTATGTGCTTGGTGGAAATTCTCCTTAAACCTCTCCTCAACACTTTCATCTATGTGATCCTCTTCCATCCCAGGTCCATTTAGAAAGCATGTCCTAATTCTGTAAGTCCTTTCATGCCCATGCTGTTGGGATGTTATCAGATAATTCTAGTTTTAAAATCAACTGGGGGCTATAAAAGCCTCAGCTTTAATTGTGTCTAAAGGGGTATGACATAGGATGTGGGAGAAAAATACTGGAGCCTAAAGCTTTATGACATAAGCATTTGGAAGGAAAATAGGAGTAAGCATTTATTTGTTGGGAGTGCATAATTAAAACAGATAGGTGTCTTATTTCTAACCATTGAAAGGAGAAAATGAGAACTGCAGTTCCTAGTGACAGGGACTCTTCCTCTCACAAAAGGGTAGGAATTCAAATAAGCCGATAAAGGGAAAAAAAGATTACAGGAAATTTCTAAATATTGGATGGCACTCTTGTAATATTTTAATTATCTCTACTTTAGACACCTTATGCAATATGAGCTCTCAGTGCTTTATAAATCATACAGGAAAGCATTTCTTTTTTTGAAACAACTGATTTTCATGTGTGTAATGGAAGAAGACAAAGCAAGACATTTTTTGAAATAGCAGGACTATCTTCATTCTTCATTAAATGGTTTCTACTATGAAGGAAAGTAAAAGTGCTTTAATAAAGGATTCTATTGTGTCGAGTATATTCTTTCCTGAGACACATTTTCGGAGCAAATAATTATGGAAAAACAAATAGCAACATGTTTTTATTTCTGCGTGTGATATATTTCATAATTATGTGTGGAGTAATCATCTGCTTTAGCCATCAAAGCTCTAACTGATTCAATTCAATGCTATTTTTGCCATACTAGAATCACATTTTAGAATTTTGTTCCATATTTGTTTTGTAAGGGAAAACACACACTTGGTACTCTTTTATTATAGTAACTACGAGTGTTCTTAAAGTACTTGTTAGAAAACAGCACAACTCACAGTTTAGATGTTTTTCTTATTGTAGTCTCAAAGTGATAGAGAAATAGCTGAAACAGCTTGTAAATAAGGAAGTTTAATATGCCTTAAGTGCCTTTACTTTTCTGAATTATGTTCTCCATCAGCATGAAAATAAAGAATGGGCATATTCAACTTGTTAGTCATGTGTGTTGGAGAAAGACACATTAATGCTTTTGAAATGTACCTACACCTCAGTGCCTTTGCCCAAAAACTTGTAAAATTAACTTGACTTTCCTAATTTCCAATCCATGTTATCAATCAATGTCAAATAACTTACACATATTATTCAGTACTTAACATTGTTTCCAGCTTTAAATCACTTAGGAACTTTACCTCACACCTTTCCAGAATAATTCTTGTGTAAATTGTTAACTCATCATCAATTACTTCACATCCTGAAATGTACGTGTTGAACTGAAAATGACTTCTCTTTTTCTTTTTTTTATGATCAAATGTTTCACTCAAAACCTTTCATTTGTTTTTCAGATTATTGGGGGTTTCTCTCTTTACATTTTCATATTAATTTTAATGTTATTTGTTTCATAGGGTCAAAGAGAATAAGTGATAGTGAAGTCTCGGACTATGACTGTGATGATGGAATTGGTGTAGTATCAGGTAAGCATTTTAGAATTATTATAGTATTCAGAAGGCAGCGGAATTTGTTGTTACTTATCATATAAATAAATAATAATTTGCCTTCTCATTCTCTAAAACAATCTTATGGCAGCCTATCACAGTTTAAACCACTGAATAATTCCATTTCCTGAACACCTGTAAGCAGTTATTAGATTGTATATTCTTGAAAGATGACCGTTAAGTAAATGTGTATAAAATTTGTATTTTAAAACAACTAAAAAAGAAAACAAAAATTGGAAGAGTGAGTGCATAATTGAAACTTCTTTATACTGCAACCATTTTGTGAAAAACAAGTGAAATTTTTTGACACCACCAACATACCTAAATTTGTCTATTTGAATGGAATTTTTTTTTTTTTTTTTTTTTTTTTTGGTTTTTGGCCATACGGTACGTGTGCTTATTGGAGAATGACAGAGAGGGAAAGTGAGAAATCATCCCTGAGGGAGGATCACGACACTGCAATCCCTTCTCCTTCATTCATTTCTTGGGATTTGGGGCATGCACGCACATGCGCCTAACATGATTTTTAAGCCCCCGGATCTGAAAGTCAGACTGTAGTGGGCCATTTGGAAGTCTATCACCTTAACCACCACACCACCTGCTGGTCTCTTGAATGGAACTTAAAAATTTTATTTTATCATTTTTATATACAGCTACATTTTGAGATTATAGTATAGTTTAAAATATTACCTTATCTAATCACTAGACCTTTATCTAATGATCGACTATTTTAGTTAAATAAATATTAAAATGAAGTCTCACTAAAATGATTATACCTAAGACCCTTAATATTAAAAAATTAACCAGTTTTTGAAGTTAAACCTAAAAAATTCATAACTGTAACTAATATTACTATGAACAAAATATGACCTATGTCAGACACTGCAGTTGATTTTAAGCAAGTTTTATTAGAATGTGGGTTAATTGCCAGCAGGTGACATAATGGTTAGGTCGCTGGACTCCCATGTAGTCGACCACTGTTGGAGTCCTTTTTGGGGGGGGGGGAAGAGAAAAGAATATGGGTTAATTACCATACCGATATCAGTGTATTAATTTTTCTTTCTTTCTTTTTTTTTTTTTTAGTTTGCTATAGGGCATGTGCACTTGCTAAAGAGAGACAGAGAGGAAGAGAGGGAGAGAGAGGGGAAAGTGAGAAATCACCTCTCTGAGGGATGACCACACTACGATCCCTTCTCCTCCATTCTCTTGGGATTTTGTGCAAACATTCACACCCAGCCAGTGTGTTTCTCAAGGAAGGTTCAGGACTGGCATTGCCAGGGGATCCAGCTGCCTTAACCACCATGACCTGTCTGGTCCCATTGGTGTATTACTTTAAAAAATTCAATGACTATTTTTCTGCCTTCTTTTCTGAGTATTAAGTGTGACTAACATATGCATTTACTGAAATTATAAAGATATTTTTTGTTTCATAATTTATAAAGAAACCTGGACAGAATGATTTTTTTTAATTTTATTTTTTATTATCATCATAATCTTCTTTATATTACATTGGATTACATGTAACTTTACAGTGTATTACATTGCTTTTTCAAAAGGGAATGCCATGCGTGTCAGTCAGTACAGGGACATTAATCTCCCCGCTTCAACATTCAATATCTTTTCTGTGTTTTCCCCAATCATTATTATTATTATTCTAATTATTTTTTAAAACAGTCAATCATTATTTCTCATTTTGCTTGTAAAAATACTTTGCCCATCATCAAATACTTCTCAGACCGATCCAGTTGAGAATACTGTAATGTCATCATCAACAATTAATAAGCCTTATTTCCCATGACCTCTTTCTTGGAGATAATTGCAATTGCTTTTCTGTTTATAGTCCGTTCACTTGTTAGCTGACTGTTCCCCTTCCATTTTCTTCTTCTTTTTTTTGGAGAGGTTTTCGCTATAGGGCGTGTGCGCTCGCCAGACGGACAGAGAGAGACAGAGAGATAGAAAGCGAGAAATCACCCCCCAGGGGGGATGACCATGCTGCAATCCCTTCTCCTCCGTACTCCTCTTGGGATCTTGGGCACGCACGCACACGCACCCAGCGTGAGTTTTAAGCCACCAGATCCCGGACGCAAACTGCAGTCGACTACGTGGGAGTCCAGGGACATAGCCATTAACGCTAACTGCTGGTCCCTCCCCTTCCATTTTCTAAGTATCTAGGTACAGCAGATTTTCTTTAAATATTTCCCTTCAGGCCAGTAAAACCCTTTAACTTTATGCCATTTTTGGCATTAATTATTTTATTTTCTGTATTTGATTTTTTCATTTTTTATTTTCAGGAAGACAAAACTATTTACTTAACATAATTATTTATTTTTTTACTCATTCAAAGGAATTGTATCTTTTGAAAATAATCTGTAGATTCTATAATAGTATTTTAGTATTGCAGAGTAGTATTTAGAAAACCTAGCAAATTCAGAGTGCTTACCCTGTGTTCATTACATTTCAACATCATAAAAAATATTCTTTCCTTCTATACATTGTTATTGCTATTTTTTTTCTATCATAGACTATCTGGTGAATCATTTAATAATCCATTGAAGACTGCTATGTAATGTTCTATGTTTTGTTGTTTTTCAAATACAATGTTATTCTGTCACACAGATTTTTTCAACTATATACCGCATTTTAATGATGTATTAAGTGTGCTAATAGGCAGCGTGGAGGTTAAGGCAGCTGGATTTCACATGGCTGACTTCACGGTTTGAGTCCTGGACCCAATGGTTTGAAAATTACATTGGGTGTACGTGCATGCTAAAAAATCCTGGAAGAAGAATGGAGGAGAGAAAAGATTGACCTTCCTCACTTTCTCTCTCTCTGTCTCTCTCTCTTTCTCTTTCTCTCTGTAGTTCTCCTGAGAGTACATGTGCCCTATAACTCTATAGAAAACTAAAAAAAAAAAAAAAGTATTTATTATTTCTTGAATTCTGTGATCTCCAGATCTTTCAATGATCATCAAAATCAGGATTACGGTATTTTAGTTTCTGAAATTATGGTATATATAGTTTTTTTCTTGGCCCATCACTTTAGTAAATGACATAGAATTTACATATATAGGAGAACTATGATAGCTAAGACTTAAACATATATTAATTCTGTTACACATTTTTCTTATATCTTCTTTTATTTATAACCTTTTTTATTTTAAACCTTCATTTATTTATTTAAAGTGTTATTTAATTGTATTTATTTATTTATTTATTTATTTAAATTTAACCATAGAGTGACAAAATGAGAGACAGAAAGAGGGAGAGAGAGAGAGGAAAGTGAGAAAGCAAACCACCAGGCCTAGGACTCAAACCATGGTCGGCCATGTGGGAGTCCAGTGCCCTTAACCACCATGCTACCAGCCAGCCCCTAAATCTTCATTATTAAAACTAATTTATCTAGAAAACAAATGCTTGAATCAATAGCTTATCAAATAATTTAAAAACTTTATAGATCAAGCAAATAGTATGTTTTCTGAGAAATTGTTTTCTAAGGTTTCTCAAATGAGAGTTGCTCATATATATATGCACAAGTTGCATACCCTTAACTAACATTCCAAACACGTCAATTGGCCAGTAATTCCATGGACAATTTGTAGCCTATGTATAAAGATTTGTTTCCAATTACAGATTGTGTATCTTTCAAATCCAGAGTATCAGTTATAATAATTCATAAACCTTTTAAATCTGTGCATCTGTGGGATGAACCTTTCTCCAAAAGGAACTATCTCTGCTGATTTATTCAATTTTCCAAGTTTGCTAGACAAGTGTCTTGAAAATTCACTGTGCCAAAAGTAATATTTTCCATGCATTCTTTTCTTAAGAGTTAATATTTTAGAGATATTTTAGGCTCACAGCAAAACTAAGAAGATGGTACACAAATTTTTCATATTTCTCCTTTCCCCCACACTCCTATTGCCTCCCTGTTGTCAATATTCCACATCAGAGTGGTACATTTGTTACAACTGATGAAACTACATTGACAATTATTATTATTTTAAGGTTTGTACCATAGTGCAAGTGTGCTCATGAGGGATAGAGAGAGAGAGAAATCACCCCGAGGGGATGGCTATGCCACAGTCCTTTCTCCTCAATTTTCCTCTTGAGATTTTAGGTATGCACACACATGAGCCCAACGTGATTTTCAAGCCACCAGTTGTGGGACTTGATCCACAGGTGGCCATGTGGAAGTCCAGCACCTTAACCACCGCACCAGCTGCTGGCTCCATTGATGTGCTATTTTCACCCCAAATCCTTATTTTACATTAGGATTCAACCTTGGTGTTGAGTATTCTATGGTTTTAGACAAATGACATGTATCCAGGTGATATCATAATACGATACAGAGTATGTTTGCTGCCCTAAAAAATCCTCTGTGCTCCACGTATTTATAACTTCCTCCTCTCAGACTTTGGCAGCCATTGATCTGTTTTTTTTTCTTTCCCTAATTTTGTCTTTTCCAGAAGTCATATAGTTGGAATCATACAGTATGTATCCTTTAAGACAGACTTCTTTTACTTAATAACATGCAGTTAGGGTTCCTCCATATCTTTTCATACTTTGATAGCTCCTTTTTTTTAGCACTGAGTAATATCCCATTGTTCATTTGTATCAGTTCATTTATTAATTTACCAACTGAAGGACATCTCGGTTACTTCCAAGTTTTGACAATTATGAAATAAAGCTTCTGTAAACATCCATGAACAGGTTTTTGTGTGAACATACACTTTAAATTCCTTTGTTTTCTGGATAGTATAGGTAAAGTATATTTAGCTTTGTAAAACAAGCATCAAACTATTTATACCATTTTGCCTTCCCACCATCAGTGAATGAGTTCCTATTAAATGAGAGTTCCTGTTACTCCACATCTGTGTTAGTGTTCGGTGTTATCAGTGTTCTAGATTTTAGCTATTCTAATATGTTGTTGTTGTGATATGTTATTCTCTGATGACATATGAGGTTGAGTGTCTTCACACGTGCTTTTTTTTGGCCATCTGTGTATTTTCTTTGAGATAGTTGTTAAGGTCTTTGGCCCGTTTTTTGATTGGCTTGTCTGTTTTCTTATTGCTGAGTTTTGAGAGTTCCATGTATATTAAAGATAACAGTGCTATTTCTGATGTGTTTTTTTGCAAATACCAGTAATTTATGTCTTCTCTGTTTTGTTCTTAATTAGCCAGAGTAGATACTTATCAAATCTATTGATATTTTTAAAGATCCAACTTTTTATTTGTTGCTTTTCTTGTGATATTTCCTGTTTGTAATTTCATTGATTTCTGTTCTGACTTTTACATTTCTAACTGCCCTGTTTGAATATAATTTACTTTTTTCTACTATTATAAGGTAGAAACTGAGATGATTAATTTTAGATTTTCTTTTTTTCTGATTTATACATTCAGTACTGCAAATTTCCCTATAAGTAGTGCTTTTGGTACATCTTAGAAGTTTTAATAAGTTGTGTGTTTTCATTTATTTGAAAGTATTCTTAAATTTCTCTTGAATTTTCTTTCTTGATCCATGTGACTTATCTCTTATTTAGAAGTGTATTACTTGGGAGTCAGCAGGTGGCATAATGGTTGCAGCACTGGACTCCCACTAGGCTGACCACAGTCTGAGTTCTGGACCCAATAGCTTGAAAATCATGCCAGGTGCATGTGCATGTGTGCCCAAAAATCCCAAAAAGAGGATGGAGGAGAAGGGATTGTGGCATGGCTATCACCTCTGGAGGGGTGATTTTTTACTTTCTCTCTCTCTCCCTCTCTCTCGCTCTCTCTCTCTCTCTCTGCTTCTCGCCAGTGAGCACATGCCTTACGGTAAAAATCTTTAAAAAAAGTTCAGAAGAATTTATAAAAATATTTTAGGCTGAACAAACAAACAAAAAAGTGTATTCTTTCATCTCCACATACTTGGGGATTTCCTAGTTATCTTTTTGTTACAGATTACAATTTAATTCATTTATTATCTCAAAGCATCATTGTATCATTTCTGATCTTGTCAATTTGCTACAGTGTATTTTATGGCCTAAAATGTGGTCTTTCTGGGTGAATGGGAGCTTGAGAAGAATGCGTTGTTGATGAAGTAGTTTATAGATGTGATTATATCTAGTTGATTGATGGCATTTTTTAGTTCAAGTCTGTTCTTACTGATTTTCTGCCTACTGGATCATTTCATTTCTGATAGAGGCTTGATTTTTAGTCTCCAAGTACAATAGAGGATTCATCTCTTTTCCCATGTAATCCGTTAGTTTTTGCCTGACTTACTTTGATGATTTCTTATACACATTATGGATTATTATGGCTCTTGGAGATTGACCCCTTTATCATCATGGAATACTTTTTTTACCCCTGATAACTTTACTTGCTTTGAAGTCTGCTTCGTCTGAAAGTAATGGAGGTACTCTTGTTTTCTTTTGATTAATGTTACCTTGTTATATTTTCTTCATTTATTTACCATGAGCGTTTATGTTTAAAGTGGCTCTCTTGTGTACACCATATATTTAGATCTTGCTTATTGATAAATTCTGATAATCTCTTTTAATTAGTTTATCTAGATCATTGTTATTCAAAGTGACAATTTATACAGTTGGCAAAGTAATCGTTTATATAGTTGGATATTATGCTATATCCTATTTGTTACCCTTGTTCTTCATTCCTTTCTTCTAGTCTTTTTCTACCTTTTATGGTTTTAATAGAACATTTCATATGATTCTGCTTTTTTCTCCTTAGCATATATATTATATATTTTTTTCTTTTATTCATTTTTTTTTGGAAAAGAACCCTAGAACTTGAAAATATTAATTTACAATTCATGTAAGTTCACTTTCAAATAATACTTCCCAAATAGTGAGTACCTTATAATAACAAAATAATCTCAATTCCTCTTTCAATCCCTTACATTATTATTATTAATTTCACTTATATATAAGCATACATAATCATATATACACATAAATACATAAATATATGCAGCTGAATTCATTGTTGCTATTAGTATTGTGATTAAACTGTTATCTGTTAGATCAATTATAAATAAGAAACAAATTTTTTGTATCTTTATTTCTTTTTCAATACTTTCTTTTTGTAGCTCTAAGATCATTGTCTGTATCATTTCCCTTATCTCTAAAGAACTTTTAAATTTCTTGCAAGGCAGTTCTACTGGCAATGAAATTCCTGTTTATCTGTGAAAATTTTTATTTCTCTTTCACTTTTTTTTCATATATTTCAGAATGTAGAAGTAGAGGTTGTTGACATTTTTCTTCTCAACACATTAAGTATATTCTTTTACTTTTTTCCTGCTGGCATGGTTTTTGAGAAGTCGGATGTAATACTTATTACACTGTCAGTAAAGTGATATTTTTTTAAACTCTGTCTTCTTTCAGGATTTTTTCCTTTATCTTTAACTATCTATAGTTTGAAAATTACATCCCTAAGTTTAGGGTTTTTTGTTTGTTCTTTGTTTTAAAACTTTGTCCTCACTGATATTTCCTTACTGGGTCTGTGGTTTAGTGTCTAACAATAATTTAATGACATTTTCAGTAATTATTGTTTCAAATGTTTCTTTTGTCCCTAGTTTTTTTTTCCTCCTTCTGGTATTTCCATTACGTATATGTTATACTTTTTGTAATTGTTACCATAGTCTTTGGGTTTTCTGTTGTGTTTTTTGTTTGTTTTTCTATAGTCTATGTTTTCTTTGCTTTTTAGTTTTTCAATTTTCTATTGATACTTCCTCAAGCTGAGAGATTCTTTCCTCAGCAATGTCCAGTCTACTAAGTTCACCAAAGGCATTCTTCACTTATGTTACAGGTTTTTTCATCTCTAGCATTTTATTTTTTGTTCTTAGAATTTTTATATCTCTGTTCATATTACCAGTCTATTCTTCCATACTGTCTATTTTATCTGTTAAAGTTCTTACCATAGTAACCATAGTGATTTTAAATTCCCAGTCTGATAATTTCACCATCCTTCCTTTATACCTTTCATGGTCATAAAATATCATTTTGTCTTAATATTATGCTTTATTCTTTGCAGTTTAGTATACTCAAAGTCTTTCCACTTCACCAACCTTTTATGTTTTTGAATAAAGTACAAAATATGCAAGGGGCTTAGTGTATATGTAAGTTTAATATTTATTCATCTTTTTTGCTTTTAGATTATCGACATAATGGAAGAGATCTTCAGAGTTCAACATTGTCAGTGCCAGAACAAGTAATGTCATCAAATCACTGTTCACCATCAGGGTCTCCTCATCGAGTAGATGTTATAGGACGGACTCGATCATGGTCACCCAGTGCCCCTCCTCCACAAAGGTGAGCTGGAGTACACATTTTAGTTGCAGGATGGTACTAGATGCCTATCTACATTAAATTCTATTAGTAATCTCTAAAGATAATGAATTCTAATAGACAAGTTATTTAAGGAAAAACAAGATGATATTCAATAATCTATGTGAAGAAAGTAAAACGAAATATGACTGACTTTGTAAGTTTGCATGAGGTATATATGATTTTATTGTAAGACTTCAAAATAATTTACAACCAGATTTCAATCACATATAAATATTGTATAGATCTAGTTAGAATTAAAAAATAAGAAAAACATAAACCTCTGGTCTTTAAAATTAGAGAGGTGGCATGGTGGTCAAGGTGCTGGACTTCCACACGGCCAACCATGATTCGAATCCTTGACCTGTCTGACTGAAACTCACACCAGGTGTATATGTCTGTATGCCCCAAATCTCAGGAGATAAATGGAGATAGGATTGTGGCACCACCATCCTCCTTGGGGGTGATTTCTTACTTTCTCCCTCACCATCTCTCTCACTCTCTCTCTGGTGACTGCACATGCCCTATGGGGGGGAGAAAAAGAAAAAGAAAAAAACCTTTAAAATTAGTAGGACTAGTGGGTGGCGTAATAGTTATGTTGCTGGATCATCATGTACTTGAGCATTGTTTGAGTCCCAGACCCAGTGGATTAGAACTCAAGCTGGTTGTATGTGCATGCATACCCAAAATCCTGAGAGGAGAATAAAAGAAAACAGATTGTACTGTGGCCATCCCCCCTGGGTGTGATTTCTTGCTCTCTGTCTCTCTGTCTCTGTCTGTCTCCCCGGTGAGCGCATGCACAAGAAATCACCCCCCCCACCCCACGCTCCGGGGCATGGCCACTCTGTAATCCCTCTCTTCATTTCCTCTTGGGATTTTGGGCATGCACACACATGTGCCTGATGTGAGTTTTAAGCTGTCATTTCTAGGACTCAGACCATAGTTGACCATGTGGGAGTCCCTTGACATAATCATTGCACATCTGGTCCCTAGACTGAGAACTTTTAATTTATTATATCTATAATTTTTTCTTATTTAATTTATAAAAATATTAAGCGTAAAGGAGGGTTTATTTACATAATTGCAGAAATGAAGAAGAAAATTTAATATATTAAATTTGTAAATGTAGTTTAAACGTTTGAAGATATTGTTTTATCTAAGTTTGTAAAAGGAACTATTATTATTACAAATTTTCCGAAAAGTGGGACCCAAAATCCCGAGAGGAGAATAGAGGAGAAGGGGTTGCGATGTGGCCATTCCCCCTGGGGGACAACTTCTCACTTTTTGTTTCTATATCTCTGTCTCTCTGGCAAGCACATGCTCCCTATAACAAATAAATTTCTCTTAAAAAGAAAAATTCTGAAAAGTAAGCTTGGCAGGCTCTTCCTTTCCAATCTGCCATCAGCGGTGGAACTGCCACCAAGATGCAGATTTTCATAAAACCCTTACAGGGAAGACCATTACCCTCGAGGTTGAACTGTCAGATACAATGGAAAGTGTAAAAGCCAAAATCCAGGATAAGGAAGGAATTCCTCCTGATCAGCAAAGACTGATTTTTGCTGGCAATCAGTTAAAGATGAGTATACTCTGACTATAACATCCAAAAGGAGTCCACGCTTCATCTTGTGTTGCGACTTCACGGGGGTGCTAAGAAAAGAAAGAAGTTTTATGCCACTCTCAAGAAGAATAAGCATAAGAGAAAGAAGGTTAAGCTGATTGTCCAAAACACAAAATTAGTCTCCTTCTTTGGGAGTGCCCTTCAGATGAATGTGGTGCTGGAGTTTTTATGGCCAGCCATTTTGACAGACATTGTGGCAAATGTTGTCTGACTAACTGTTTCAACAAACCAGAAGATACGTAATTGTTTATGAATTAATAAAATAGATGAACTAGCCTTTAAAATAATAGTAAGCATGGTAGACTTTAATAGGATAAGATTTTAAGTCTAAAATTTTAAGTTTAAAAGATAACTAGCTTTCAGTTTGTAACTTTAATAAATTAAGCCCTTTACCATTAAAAAAAAAAAAGAATGCATGTGTAAGAGAAAAAAAAAAAACATTTTTTTTTTCTTTCTACATATTCCACAACATAGAAAATGTCTGTGGCCAGATGTTGGTTTCCACTCACGCCACACAGGTTTTTAGCAGGTACCACTTCTGTGTTCTATTAGTCTATTTGATTTTGAAGGTATCTACTTGGTATCAGATTTCACAGGTTCAGAGCTCTGGACCGGGAAAAGGCTCCCCATTTCAGACTGGCAATGACTCATCCTTATGAATGACCACCTGTAAATTGGAGTTTCATAATTCTCCTTAGGCTCAGTAATTGCTAGGTCAAGTTAAAAAACTCACAGAACTCAGGGAAACACTTTACTTAAGTTTATTAGGTTATTATAAAAGATAGTATGAAGTAATATACTTCTCAAGTTACGTCCTATTTTTAATTACTGTTACCTGGTGGCAAATTTTCCTCATCAATATGAGGAATAATGATAAAATATATTCAATAGAATAGATAATGCAATAGAAATATAATATCTATATTTATATGCACACTTGATATATGATGGTAAAGGTGGTACTACAAATTAATATGGAAAGAATGGGTTGGAAAGAATAAGAAAATTAGCTTATGTAGAATAAAATTAAAAACTGAATTCCTACTTTTCATCCTATAATATGACATGCCGTGATCTTAATTATGTTTTAAAATGCTACTGTGTGTTATGGTGATTGGGGTAAGAGTGGAAGCAATAGAATACTTAGGCAGTTGTGGCAGCATATGCAGGAAGATGATAGTTGAGACTAGGGTACTTCCAAGGGAGATGGTAAGAGGTGGCAGATTTAGAGTTGGTCTTCTGAGCTCTGAACTCATGTCTGAATACGTAAGAGGCATCTCTATGTCCATTCCTACAGACCACATAAATAAACATGTCTAGCACTGAACTCATTTTCTCTACACTAATCTACTTCTCCTTTGTCGTATATCTCATTGAGGACCACTGCTAGACACTTATCTTGGAGGCATCCATTAATAGCATTTTTTAAAAAAATTTTATTTTTGGAGAGGTTTTTGCTATAGGGCGTGTGCGCTCGCCAGAAATGCAGAGAGAGACAGAGAGATAGAAAACAAGAAATCACCCCTTGGGGGGCGGGGGGGAATGGCCAAGTCGCAATCCCTTCTCCTGACCATTCTCCTCTCAGGATCTTGGGCACACAAACACACCCGGTGTGAGTTTAAGCCACTGGGTTGAACCATGGTTGACTACATGGGAGTCCAGTGACATAGCCATTATACCAACTGCTGATCCTCCATTAATGGCTTTGCTACTATTTATATTATTGCCATTAATATTAGCTTTTTTGGGCTCTTTTGGCCTTGCTTCTTTGGTATAGCAGCAATCTCCTTACTTAACTGTCAGCCTCTACCTGAAGTTTATATTAACCACAGGTGCGAATAGTTCAAACAACATATTTGGGCTGATTATTAAAAGGAGTTTTATTTTTTTCTACTATTATTATTAATAAATCGCATTTCTTAAAATAGTATATGATTATGACTTACTAAGACATTCAACGGATCTTGCTATTTCAGTCGGAATGTGGATCAGGGATTTCGAGGGACACGCACTGCTACTGGACATTATAATACGATTAGCCGAATGGATAGACATCGTGTCATGGATGACCATTATTCTCCAGATAGAGACAGGTAAATGATTAAATACTATGAGACCTTGTGATCCCTGCCTTTGGAAAGGAATTACAAAGAATGTTCTTCATCTCTTCTTTTGCCTTAGTTTCTAAAACCATGTTTTTTCTTTACAATGCCTACATTCTTTCTTGTGACTGCTACTTTGTTAAAAAGAGAGAGAGAGCGAGAGAGCGAGAGAGAGAGAGAGAGAGAGAGATAAAAACTAGCAGCCTTTTCTTTGATAAGGAAAAATAAAATCATCTTGCTCTTGCAGTTTGGTCATTTGTTAAATCCTACCAGTTAAATTAGTGATATTGCAGACACTATTATGATAACCTTTACGAAAACAAGATGTTTTATTTTACATTGTCCTAATAAAATATTACATGTAAAAATACTTTCCTGAGACAATGGATGTTTAAGTCTTTTACTTTTATCAGAGAAATCAGCGTGACTTTTTATATATCGAAGTATTGAGACAGAATCTGGTTTGTTTAGGAAACTTTTTATCATGATTCATGAAGAGGTTTTTCCTCATGGCTTTCAGTAAATCTTTTAAGCATCTTAAAAAGAATCATGCTTGTTGATTGCTGTATTTGGAAGAATTCTCTGAATTTGCTCCATTAAATGTGACAAAGTTGGAAGTAACATGGTATGTTACAATGCTTATACAGATTACTAATATTTTAAGTTAAGGAAATGGAATGACTTCATGCTTTGGTCATACATGTGTTGAATGCTATGATAGCTTCCCCAAACCAGGAAATGAGTTTGAGATACGATTAGGTAAGAAGGCTGAATTTACTAGTCAGAGAATGATAAAATTATGAGGAAACTCAGAAATCCCTTTTTATGTATTCTAGTCTTGGGAAGAACACTTAGAGGCTTTTAAAGCTGACGTGAGAAATTGCTGTCAGTATTTATGTTGTTATTTTCTAAATCAGAGATTGTGATTTAGAAAATGCTTACAATTTCATTTTGTCTTAGCACACTTTTGAAATAGAAGACATAGGGTATATCTTAGTTTTCAACAGTGAAAAACAAGAGTTGGCTTTTATGTCTGAGATCCATAAGAAATTAGGATGTTATTAAGTTAATGTCAGAATTGGTGTCAAGTAAAAGTTGATGTAGTATTTTATTTCTTTTTAATTTGGTAACTTTTTCATAGTGATGCCTGTCTTTAGAGGTAATTATAGACATGATACCTACAAAAAGTAATCCTTATCAAGTACAATAATAGTGAAACAAGAATAACTGTGTTGGCATGATTAAGAATTAGTAGGTATGTTAGCTATCTAATTGAATTTTAATGAGCTCGATCATTTCTGGATATTCTTTACATAGCAAGTCATAAACTCTGTTCACTGAAGATTTGTTAATGAAAATAATGAAAAAGAAAAGTCTGAAATGACTAAATGTCCTTCAAGTTTACATAGTTTTCTTTAATGAAAAATAATATTTTATCTGAAGATAAGTAAATATGACCTAAATTGTGCAGAAAAGAACATAGTGAAAATTAGCCTCTAGAATTATATTGACAAACAAAAGTGATTGCTATTATATCAAATGCATAATATTTTATCAGTATTTTAAGGCAAAAATTTGCTACTAAAGCCTAGATGATTAATCCTTAGTATTAGCTAGTATAGTCCTATTAGTTAATTAATATGTCAGAAATATCCTGCAGTGTGTATTTTCATATCTATCCCAGTTTATATCTATAATTAAAATGTCATTATGTTTTACTTAAAATTTTATGAATCTTAAGGAAAGTGTTCAAATAATTACCTCCACAAGTTTTAGGAAAATTCATCCATGTTATTTCATTCCTCTTTGAGAGTGCCATAGATTGCCATGTCACAAATTCTCTTAATTGTGAGCTGCCTTAAATCCCTTTTTTAAATAAGTGAAATAACATTTCACTTAAATAAGAATACAAAACCATTTCTAATACTGTTTTTGATTATGTAATCATTACTAATTAACATGAGAAATCAGAAAGTGCAATATTATCTCTCTGTGAATCAGTCTCATTAGTAAACCATGGATTCCTAATTTCCTTTAACCTCATATTCTAAAATATATTCAATAATAAAATGCATGTGAAGCATTGTAATTTTGTGGTACTATTTTATTTAGAAGGTAAGAATACTTTAGAACTTTTACAGTGAATTTTCATGAAAAGCATTTTATAGAGTCAGTCAGTATGAAAAGCTCAAGTGAGATTCCCTTTGAGATAATTAAGTATAACTTAGGTGTTTTGAAAGGTGCATTAACCTTTCTTGTCTGTAATAGTTGATGCACTGGATTACAGTAGCATTTTATTAACATATGCCTTTTCATGGGATTTGGAACCAAGTGGCTTTGAGTTTGAATGATTGTACCCCCTTGTTAACTGTATGTCTTAGGAAAAATAAACCTCTTTGATGCATGCTTTGTTTTTGTTTTCTATAACATTGAGCATTAGTACCAATTTCATAGGGTTGTATAGATGTTCCCTTTCCTCAGCCCCCCACTTCCTCAGGATTCTGGGCATCCATTTATGTGCCCTGTATTTTTTTAGGAAGACCTGAGATCCAAATCAGCACTGCAAGATGCTGGAGTTACTGCTCTGCAACAGCATCTGAGCCTTACTGGATCGTTGTTTCTCAGAAAATCTTACTCTGCTTTCATTAGTCAAAATCCTACTCTGTTTTCAATATTAAATAGATTCTTTACAAGTAAATCAGAAACTTGGACATGGGGATATTAGTATTATAAATGATATATCTTCCATTCTCTCTTTTGGTATCATTGGTTCTCTGGTAAATCCTGGTAACTAACTACAACTAAGAACATAATTTTCCTGGGGTAGACCATGTTGCTTTTGTATTAGAAATAATTTCAATGACTTTTTTTTTCATGGGTTAATATACTATTAGAACAGGGATCAAGTATTAGACAGTACTTTATAACATGTCAGGAATACCCTGAAGTATGTATTTTTATGTTTATCCCAGAGGCCAAAATATATTGGATACATTTATTTCATGGAGTAGACTTAGTATTATAAGAAAAAAAAGATTAGAATGGCAGAAAATGAATTATTTTATAAACTTTTTTCTCCTGTTTATTCACTTAAATTTATATTCTAAAAAGGAAAATGCCCTGTTATATGGGCTACTGGAATATCTCACACATTTAGACTTTTCTCTATTTCTTATGCAGCCAGCTACCAGGAGATGAGATGTGACACTTACCCATAACTATTTCTTCAAAAAAGAACAGTCTCTTTGATTCTTTCAGTTATCAGTTATGAAGGAAATACATTTCTGAAAGTTTAAAGTTATAGAGAAAGTAAATTAAAAAGGAGGATTTGCTTTAGAAAATAATATAAAACTTTATTTATTACATTTCAAAAACATATTTTGAGATAGTTAAATCATCCTGAGTATATTGTAAGAACTATAAAGTAAGCAGAATATTAACAATATTAAAGACACAAAGCAGAAAGTTTAACATTTAGATGGGGTTGTTGGACGCAGTTTTCAAATACTACAGGTTTAGTTAGGGATGGGATATATTATTTCATCCTTTGTGGTCTTTTTTGTGCATTTGGTGATTCCAAAAAGACAGCATTAATGGTAAATGTAATATAGTGTAAGGTAATTTATTGTAAAAATAATTTTGTGGTTTCTTTAAAAGCTTATATTAGGACCAGCAGATGGCATAATGGTTATGTTGTTGGACTCTCACATAGTCAACCTTAGTTCAAGTACCAGACCTGGCAGCTTAGAACATTCACCAGGCGCATGTGCACACGTGCCCAAAATCTCAAGAGGAGAGTGGAGAAGGGATTACGGGCAAACCCATCCCCTCTTGGGGGGTGATTTTTCGCTTTCTATCTCTCTGTCTCTCTGAAGAGTGCACACTAACTATAACAAAAATCTCTCTAAAAAAAGTTTATATTACTTAAGAATCAAAGTGTGTCTAGAAAATGGATTAGTAATTTAGTTAAGTTCTTTGGATAGAATTATTTTTATCTTAGAATCTAGAATTTCTTTTATTCTTTTTTTTCTTCTTTTTACTGAATCTTTGTTCTACTTAGAATTTTATTTCAAACAAATAGGACTAAATACAATTTCTAATATAATTTGCTTTATTTGTTTTACTCATTATGTATATGCAAGAGATAATGAATATTTATTACTTTAATTTTATAATGTACATTAATTTTGGGAGAAAAGTAAACATGATTCAATAAAGAGACCTAAAATATTTTTGAATTATATGAAGTGGATGCACCAAAGAATCCGATATACACCTATGGACCTCTGGTGAATTTTAAAAGGCTTATTAAAGGAGAATGGCAAATTTTGTGTAATGTTCAGAAGTGTGTTTTCATAGTTTTCACAGAATATCAAGGTGGGAGAGGCATGTCATGACCAAATGAGGTTAAGAACTAAAATGATTAGACATGGAAAAGAGAACTAAAACAAGGACATTCATACTTAGTGAAGATGATTCTGACTTAATGTTTTCTTTGGCTTTATAGTGACAAAATTAATTATATTTGTCAAGGAAAATATTAAAAATGGTCTATATGCATCTTCTTTGAATTTATAAATTTTAGCAAGCTTTGAAGTTTATACATTTTATGTCACTCTTAAAGTGATTTTTGGAGAAAATCTATTTCTTTTAAAGCAGTTTACTTCCTAACTGTTAAGTACAATTTTTATTCTTTATAAAGTCAGGAATGCTTTTTATGATGCTTCCCTATTTTCTTATTCCATATAGGCTTGTAATATTTTGTTTATATTTCTAAAATGTTTCTCTATTTATATAAACCACTACTTTTTTTGGAGAGAAGATTCATCATGAAAATGACGTGATTTTGCTTTTAACTTTTGGTTAAATCCAAAATATATTTATTGAGTGGGTGCGCCAGTGTGCAGAAAGATTCAAAAAAGGATATTATTCTGGTCTAGATAGACAAATTACCATACGTCAATTAATTATGAAATGTAGAAAACTGTGAGCCAGAAGCAGGATGTTATTGGAACAGATTGGAGAGAATATGACTGGCTTGGGTCTATTGGAAAAGACTTCAAAGAGAATTTGGCCTTCAAAGATTAAGATTTTGAAAAGCAAAGGAATGAAGACAGGTGGTAGATGATGGGCATCATCAGTTGAGTGATGAGCATCAATAAAATCTTAGATTGAGAAAAGCACATAATATATAGAGAACATTGTAGGTAGTCTGTTATTATAGATAATGGATAGGAAATGACAGGAGATGAAGACTGAAAGCAGTTTAGAATTTTTAAGTAATATTTTTTGATTACCAGGAGCCATTTGAGAATTTGGAGTAAAGCATAATTTGCAAATGTATTTCCATAGACAGGGTGAGAAATGGATTGTGTCAGGAAAGAGCTGGAGTCTGAGACAGGGAAAACTAAGAGCACGTTATTTCAGTAGACCTGATAACCTTGGTTTAAGGTATGGCAGAAGAAAAGAAAAGAAGAGGAGAAATATGACTCAGATTTAGCAGGATTTTTAAATTAATTGAATTTACAAAGGAAGGGAATGGAGGAGTTAAATTCCAACCCTTTTAAAGCTTGGTTTATTAAATAAATGTATTAATTATCTAATTTAAGCTGGGATTATAAGAAGAGGAATTGCTGAAGTAGAATATTAAGTTCCAAAGAAGGATTAAAGAAATTAGAAGGGACTTTAGAGATGACAGAGTCCTGAATTCTGAAGAGGTACCCCAGGGATTGCGGTGTTAAGGATGAGGCGAGGCCGATGGGTAGAGATCTAGACCTCTCACTGGAGTCACTCAGGTTTTATTGGATTCCTCGTATATATTGATTCTTCACAAAATTTTATTTAAAAATAAGTGGTATTCTGCTTCAGTTTTTTAAAATAAAACTGCTTGAACCCTTTCATTTCACATGTGCAACATCACATGTTCTAATGGGCAACATATATCTATCATTCAAGCCTCGCCATTAACCTTGGTTTTTCTGAGTGTTTATATTATATTAAAGCACCTTGCAGATGGCCCAGAGAAGCAGCTGGAAATGTGCCATGCAACCCAAAGAAAAATCCAGGCTAAAGTAAAATGATAGTCTACACTTTAAAAACAAATAATATTACTCAGAAAAAAAAAAAAAGTTGAACCACATGAAAGAACCTTGGAAAACCACTGCCTCTAGGGAGCGTAGAGAAAGGAAATGAAGTAAATGAAATGGATAAAAGTCAGATAGGAGGGAGACCAGGCCATATGTACAAATAGTAAGAGCCCGAATTGTGAATTTAAAATGCCCCTTAGTTTGAAACCTAGTCCTGCTACTTTAGTCTAGGGCTATGAGCAAGCACTCAGCCTGTTCTTTTCTGTGGGAATGTGGGAATACCAGAACCTAAGTAGAAGAGTTGTTATGAGAAGTAAATGAGATAATGTAGACAAAGCTTTTAGTGTAGTACTTAGTTCATAGTGAAGTGTTAAATAAATACTGGCTTAATAGCCAGAAAGAATAGTGTTTCCGAAATCAAAAATGGAGACGGTGTTAGGGAATAGAGGCTGGAAAATCAATGTTTAATACCACAGATAAATGTACTGTAATAAAGATCAAGAGGTAACTAAAGGATTATTTGAGATTTCACGGCTAACACTCATAGGACAGCTTCAAGAGAATGTTGGAGGCAAAAGTCAAATTAGAGAAAGCTTAAAGCACGAACAGAAAGTGAAGAAGTAGTGATAATTATAGTTATGTCTTTTAAGATTACTGATTACAAGAAAGCGAGCAAGGTGTAGTGACTTGAGAGGAAGGCAATGTTAGCAAAGGTTTTATTTTTAGAGTTAAGTGAAGTTAATGAAAGAATGGCAGGAGAGAATAATGAATGAAGCAAGGCCATGCTGGAAGCAGAATTACAACAGAGGTTATTTCTTCTTTTGGTGTAGAAGACAAGGACAAATGAAGACATAAACATTATGTAAGCCATATTTAGAGATAGGATTTTAGACACTGAGGGGGTTCAAGGTTTGTTTCCATTGTTTACTGAAAAATAACGATCATCTACCAAGATGAAGTGTTTTGGCATGAAAGGTTTCCAGAAAGTAGAAAAATTTAAATTAGTGCAATGGGAGGAGAGAATAAACTACAGGCAAGTAATGGCTCAGCATGCTGCTTTGATTGCTTATGGCAGTCATGAGGCATGAAATGTAGCAGAGCCAATAGCATGTAATAAGTCTGTCATAAACCTACTGAATGGAAGAATGGATCAGTACATCTCATGAATATAACTAGTAAATAAAAATACTTTGAATCAGATTGTTCTTTATTAAATGAAACTTTGAAAACCCCTGGTACTTACTTTTGATTACTAATAGTTGAAGGAGAACGAGTTGCCATAGTAAATTTCTGAAGTATTATAGGTATTAGAAAATATCTCTTGTTATTGCCTTCTTAAACTTTTTGGTTACTTTACTATTTTTCTCATTTCACCTTTCCTCCTAAAAAATGGAAAAGCATTTCTATTGTATAACATATCCTGGGTAATGCTGAACATATTTTAGTAATAATCTATAATTTTATTTTGAAATATGCTTTTTATAAATCTCAATGTTATATTTTTGTTGCATCTTATTTTAGAATATTTACAATATTTTAATCTTTAGCACTGCCATGTTATAATGAACATTGGAAGGGGGACAGGCTATCCAGTAACAATTTTCTTTTGCTTTGCTTACTATCTGCTTATCTTTTTAAATCTCACTTTTAAAATTAAACTATACCTTTTTTTACTTCTTTCCTGAGTCTCATTTATATTCTTGTTTCTGCCATGCTTTCAGTCATTTTCTTACTCTACCTCGCTCCAGATACAGTCAGACCATTGAGCATCATCACAGGGATGGCAGGTATATTTTTCTTACAACTGAGTCTGTTTGTAGAATTGCATGTACTTGTCTATCTATGTGATATAATTCTCTTGTATTTCTGTTTACATATGTAAAGGAAATAGAAAAGTAAAATAATGAAGTAAAACATACACAAACTAATGGTAGTAAGATATCAAAAATACAGCTGCCCTTAGGTGAACTGGGATCATTAAAGAGGTGAAAATTTAGGACCAGCAGGTAGCATAGTGGTTAAAGTGTTGTACTCCCACATGGGTGACTGTGGTTGGATTTCTGGACCTTTGGCTTGAAATTCACAATGGGCACATGTTCGTGTGTGCCCAAAATCCCAAGAGGAGAATAAAGGAGAAGGGACTGTGGCTTGGCCATCCCCCTGGGGGGCGGTGGTTTCTCACTTTCTCTCACTCTGTCTCTCTGGCTAGTGCATGCACCCTATAGCAAAAATCTCTCAAAAAAGAAAATGAAAAATCATTAGGAATTATGTAGAAGGTAATATTACCTCTATTATTTAGAAGGATAGAATAACCGTATCTTTTTTAAATTAACTGCTGTTGATTGCTCGCTCACTTTCCTCAATAAAGTTCATAACTATTTAGACAGCCTAGCCTGATTTGTACGTCTTTCCAACCCTCTTTCTATCTCTCTGCTACAGAGTAGGAGAATCTGTTCTTGAAATGCTTAGGTCGAGTTGATTTATTTGCAGTTACCTTCTCAAAAGTAGCTGTGGTCTACTCCTTGGGTATAGTAGATAATCTTGGGTCTGCGGCAAATACTGGGTCTGTGGAGAAACCATTGCTGATTTTTACCCACCGCCATTACTTTTCCCAAACTGGGAATTTTCAGTGAACCATAGAAAGTGCAGCTTTAATATCTAAATAAATAAAAATTAATATTGGAGAGAAATATAAATTACCTGGCATTTAACAGAAAAGGAGGTTAACTATAAAGGGAGGAAAAGAAGGTCTCTAAAATGTCTCAAGTTCTCAAGGCTATATGTAGCTTTAGGAATTTGAATCAGTTCAGTGACAAATTTTGAGGTCCTATAGGCAGAGAAAAGAATTACAGTGTTCATAAGTTTAACTAGTATAAAGTAGAAATTGTGTGCAATACTTGGTCACCCTGACTCAGTTATTTGGGATTACATGTGACCCCATTTATCTTAGGAAGTGATAATAAAAGTGTTTATAAAAAAAACTGAAAACTAGTGGGTAAATTCTTAAGGATTGCATTTATGTGAGTAAATGTGGAAGGAAACATGAGATAACAAATTCCTAGTAATTCAAGTTGTCTGATGTCTTTCAATAAATGTGATTGAAACTTAGCACCTTCTACAATAGTTAAATCATAAGATAGTGGTTATTGATATATTTAATTTTCTTTTTTTAACTCTCTTTTCTGTTATTTTGCTTTAATACTAAATTCTTACTTTTTTGTTATTTTGTCTTTTATTCTTACTGTTGCTGTACATTTCATTCCGACTATTTTTTGATTGTAATGATTACACATTTACTTTACAAAAAATGTGAAAAGTGGTTCTTTAATTACTGATTATAGGTTAATTCTATTTACTCTGCCCATCCTAAGTTAAAATCATGTACCGCATTATTTTTATTAATACTTTTTATTTGTTTAGTCTCAGTTAGCAATAAGTAGATTGCTTCAGGTTACAGCCAACCCTCCGTACCTCTGGATTCAACAATTACAAATTCAGCCAACTGTAGATTGAGAAGAGTTGGAAAAAAAATTGGTTGCATCTCTGCCGAATATATGCAGATCATTTTAACTTATTAACCTTCCTTTGCTTTTGAAGAGTGACTTTTGGTCATTTTTTTCTTGTCTCTAACAACACAGCTATAGCATAACAACTATTTACATAGCATTTACTTTGTATTGGATATTATAAGTAATCTAGAAACTATTTAAAATATACTGGAAGACATGTATAGGTTACATTTATTTCACAAGTACTAAGCCACTTGCCTTAGTTCAGAACATCAGAAACTCATGAGGGCCTAAACTAAGTTTAGTTTATACCTACTCTTAGAAAATTTGGATAGATTTTTTAAGAATGAAGTTTCTTACTTATTTTAAAAGCATCTTGGATTAGCAGGTGACCTGGTGATTAAGGTAGCTGGAGTCTCACATGGCTAACTGCGGTTTGAGTCCCAGATCCAGTGGTTTGAAAAATCACACTGGGCACGTGTGTATGTGTTCCCAAAATCCCAAGAAAAGAATGGAAAAGTGATTGTGGCGTGACCATCCCCCGGGGGGATGATTTCTCACCTTCCCTCTCTCTGTCTCCTCTCCAGTGAGCACATGCATCGTAGGGCAAAAAAAAAAAAAAGTTTTTAAAAAGTATCTTTCATCATTGTCATTTCGATATATACAAGAGATGTACAAAAGTTTTGAAGCATAGTAATAAAATGAACATCCTCGAATCTACTACTCTACCAAGAACCAAAGCATCTGGTTGCATACCTTGCACCTCTCTGTATGCTCCTTGAATTTTGCATTCCTATAATCTATCCACAGAAGAAATAAACATGATAGTGATTTTCAATTTAACCTTCCCTTCGTTTGCTTTTGAAAAATGACTTCTGTTCATTTGTTTTTCGCTCTACGTACCTTCTAAGTTATGTATCTCTCTCACTTCCATCCTAATCCTCTATGAGATTCTTGAACTGACATTTTGATGTCTGTTGAAAATCATCTATCCATTCTCATATTTATTCCCATAGTGTTTTGTGCTTTTTACCTTTAATTTAACTCATATAATGTTTGCATATAATGCAACTAAGCAGAACCACTCACTACCTGTCCTTATAGCTATCATCTGTTGACTTCTTGTTTATGCCATTTATTCACTGATGACTTTCGCATCTGGCTTTAGTTCTTGTCATTATAGTATCTGCTATCATCAGTCTCAGTAATGTCAGCATTCACCTGAATGATCTATTCAGCATGTATGTACTTCCTTAACTTTCTCAAATATTATGAGTTTTATTTTCACTTCTGCTTTAGATAGTCAATTGAATAGCCATACTCTAAATTTTATCATCACTTGAAATCATTCCATCTTTAAAAATCTTAATTCAGATGTTCTACACTTGGTGTCTAAACTGCATATGTTTCTTTTTTATTCTTTCATTGAGCTAATTTTACTTTATTTTTTACAAATCTCCATAGAAATCTTTACTGTCTTGACCACTTACCTTCTCCTTGTTGGTCTTCACCTTTCTTTATCTACTTATGTTTCCATAGATTGAACCCATTCTTAGAAATATCCTTAATTCCCTTGCTACATTGTTCTTCTTTTACCTATTTAATAAAGCTCAAATCTAGATCAATGTTTTTCTCATGCAATTGACTTTTGAACTAAATTTTCCAAAATCCACCTAACTTACCTGCTTGAGTCAAAATAACTAAACATTTAAAAGGAAAATTATCTGTGACCCACAGATAGTCCTACCACTTGGCAGACTGGAGGCCATGTGGGAGGCCTGGGTTTAATTCCCAGGTCAACCCAAACATGGCAGATGCTGTTGTGTTCACCTGTAATTCTAGCTAATTGAGAGGCTAAGGCAGGAGGATTACAACAGCACAAGACCCTGTCAAAAGTGTCTATCTCTATTTTCCTTTCTCTTCTTCTTTCAGAAAAAAGAGGGTTGGGGGAAGTGGGAAGAAAAGGGAGGAAGTAAAAGAAATGTTTTTATTGAATGAATGAAGTCTCATGAATCTTGTAATTGTCCAGTTTTCAGGCCCAAGTTTCAAATTAGCATATAATCGTATCTGGGAATTATCCTTCTGGGAATATTTGTTAATAACTCAGAGTGGATCATAGTTTGGCTCTATATTATCTGGAATTTTCTGAATGGAATGAATATAGTGACTATGGCATTCCTCATCTAAAACCAGTTCATCAGAAGAATCTAAGCTTTCTCTTAATGGTATAGGAAACAATCACCAGAATAAAGGGAAAACCTATAGAATGGAAGAAAATATTTATGAACTACACAAGGGATTAATTACCAGAATTGGGACCAGCAGATGGCATAATGGTTATATTGCTGGGCCCCGTGTAGTCGATCACAGTTTAAGTCCTGGATGCAGTGGCTTAAAACTCATGTTATGCCAGGTGCATATGCATGTATGTCCAAAGTTCTGAGAGGAGAATGGAGGAGAAGGGATTGTAGCATGACCATCCCTCTAGGGGATGTTTTCTCCCTTTCTGTCTCTGTCTCTCCATTATGCACACATACCTTATAGCAAAAATCCCTCAAAAACTTAAGAAAAATACAAGGAACTTGACCACAAATAAAAAAGTAATCTAATTAAAAAATGGGTAAATAATCTGACTGGATGATCCCCCCCCCCCAAAAAAAGGCATACAAATAGTTAATAAGTATGGGGATAAAATGCTTAAAATCAGTAATTTCCAGGGAATTGTAAGTCAAAACCACAATGAGATAGCTCACTCTGCTTAGACTAGCTTCCATGTAAGAGACAAAAAAAACCCCCAAACAAACAAACAAACAAAACTCCCTCCCCCAAAAAACCAAAAGCAAGCGATAGTGAAAATACAGAAGGTAAAAGAAGAGAAACTCTTTTACTCCATTGGTGGGAATGGAAACTAGTAAAATGATTATGAAAAACAATATAGAGGCTCCTCAAAACACTGAAAAGAGAATTGGCAATTGGCATATGATCTAGTAATTTCGCTATATCCAAACTCACCAAAATTAGTATATCACAGAGATATCTAGACGTCTATTTACTGCAACACTATTTACAATGGCTAAGATGTGGAATTAACCTAAGTGTCCATTCACGATGAATGGATAAAGAATATATGGTACAGGTGGACACACAGAGTAAAATACTATTCAGCCAGTAAGAATGAAATCCTGATATTTGAAGCAACATGGACAAGCCTGGAGGACATTACATTAAACAAAATAAATCAGGCACATAAAAAGAAAATTCACATGTTCCCACTCTTG